AGACCCTCTGCTCCTCAAAATATGTGAGACCCTCTGCTCCTCAAAATATGTGAGGCCCTCTGCTCCGCGCAATCAGTGCGGCTCTCTGTTCCACAAAACCAGCTAGGTCCTCTGTTCCACAAAATCAGTGAGGCCATCTGATCTACAAAATCAGTAAGGCCCTTTGCGCGACAAAATCTGTGAAGCCCTCTGCTCCACAAAATCAGTGAGGCCCTCTGTTGCACAAAATCTGAGGCCGTCTGCTCCACAAAATCAGCGAGGCCCTATTCCACAAAATCAGTGAGCCCATCTGTTCCACAATCTCAGTAATGCCCTCTGCTCCACAAAATTAGTGAGGCCGTTTGTTACACAAAATCTATAAGGCCCTCTGCTCCACAAAATATGTGAGACCCTCTGCTCCACGTAATCAGTGCAGCCCTCTGTTTCATAAAATCAGTGACTCCCTCTGTTCCAAAAGATCAGGAAGGCCCTCTGCTCCGTACAATCAGTGAGACCTTCGGTTCCACAAAATCAGTAAGGCCCTTTACTCGACAAAATCTGAGTCCCTCTGCTCCACAACATCATCGAGGCACTACTGCTCCACAAAATCTGAGGCCCTCTGCTCCATAAAATCAGTCAGGTCCTCTGTTTCACAAAATCAGTGAAGCCCTCTTGACATTTGACCGCTTTGCCATCGGTGCTGTGAACACCAAAATTTAAAAGTGAACAAAAATTGGTTAATGTTCTGATGCAAGCGGTGAAGGTAGGGCTATCAGTAGAAGAGTTAGTAGTGACTTGGCTGGCTTGTTCGGTCGGGGTAGAGCTAGCATCGGGTTGGTGAACTCTGGCCGCTGTAAATTTCTGGTATTTACATTGCACCTCCCCCCCTCGCATTCAAAGATGACTCAACAATGAGTTGTACTGAAGGATAAATGAAGCAGGACAGTGTAAGGTGTGAGTGTGACTGCACAGGCACAACTTTGAGCCAAAGTGGTTGTAAAGCATATTCCTTGTCAATGGGGTTTTCCCCTGAATTTATTATGATTACACCTATGATGGGTGCAAAGTCCGGAGATGTATGAGCTGAGTGGAATTGAGCGTTATCTCTGTGTTATCTGGGCCTGACTGTTATGTTAGTTTTTTTCCCTGGGTGCTGTTTCATCCCGCAACGCAACACTGAATTGGCTAAACACCCCTTGCAGGATCCGAGTGGATATGAGTCTTAGTGTAGTGTATGTAACTGACGCGCACACACACCGTTCTTGGAGGCATTGCGTTTATTAACAACTTTACTGTACACTGGGTTCTGTTACTAAGTGTGGCTAATTCTGGTTAGGCTGCTCACTATGTGCACGTCTGTTAGCCAGCTGGATCCCCCAAAACGAACCCTGAATCCCACTTACGCTCCCCCCTTATCCCTTGGCCCCGGCCCCGCCCCTTACTGTATCAAGGCCACGTATCCTTACCCGTCCAATAGAGACCCCACTTCAGGCCACGTGCCCTTGAGTCGTCCAATGGGGCCGACTTCCGGTCACGTGCCCCAAGCTCGCCCAATTGAGCACCGCTTCCGGTCACGTGCCCTTAGTTCATCCAATCGGGACCATTTCTGGACACGTGCCCTCAGCTCATCCAATCGAGCACCGCTTCCGTTCACGTGACGTTAGATCAGGGGTCCTCAAACTTTTTAAACAGGGGGCCAGTTCACTGTCCCTCAGACCGTTGGAGGGCCGGACTATAGTAAAAAAAAAACTATGAACAAATTCCTATGCACACTGCATATATCTTATTTTGAAGTGAAGAAACAAAATGGGAACAAATACAATATTTAAAATGAAGAACAAGTAAAGTTAAATCAACAAACTTGCCAGTATTTCAATGGGAACTATGGGCCTGCTTTTGCCTAATGAGATGGTCAATGTCCGGTTCCATATTTGTCACTGCTAGTCGTAACAAGTGATGCAAGTGTGCATCCATTAGCCTAGATCTGGTTGGAGATTTCAAATGTTTCATTCTGGAAAAAGTCTGTTCACAGACATAAGTGCTGCCAAAGATGGTTGCCATTTTGAGTGCATGGTTCCTGAGATGAGGATATGTCTCAGAGGGGAGAGATGCATAGAAATTATGAAGGCTGCTTGACTTGAATGCGTCTTTCAGAGAGTCACAATTCTGCAGTTCAGCCAGTTCCATTTGGTAAATTGTATCCACATTTTCAATGTCAATAGAAAATGGGTTACGGAAAAGCTGTATGTCCTGTTCATGGCGATGAAGCTCTTTAAATCTAAATTGGAACTCCTTTTGCAATTTTTCCAGTGAATCCACACATGTTTTGTTTGGGAATTGCAACCAATGGTTTTTCCGCTAACAGATTTTGAGTTGTGGGGAGATGGCAGAAGTTTTCCTCCTTAACTTGTTTGATGAGGAGGCCTAATTCTACTTCAAATGCTTTGACATGTGATTGCATATCACAGAGGAGCTTCCCCTTTCCTTGAAGTTGCACATTGAAACTGTTGAGTAGCTCTGTTACATCTGTCAGAAAGGCAAGGTGCCATTTCCATTCTGCATCATTGAGCTCTGGTACTTCTTTGTTTTTTGAAAGCAGAAAAGCTGTAATCTGTGGAAGTAAGTCATAGAAACGTTTCAAAACTCTCCCTCGACTCAGCCAACGGACTTCTGTGTGGTACAGAACATCTTCATAGTCAACATTTAGTTCAGACAGAAATTCCTGAAATTGTCTGTGGTTTAGTGCATGAGCTCTAATGAAGTTAACACAAGATACCACAATTTTCATAACAGAGTCCCACTTCAGTGATTTACTACACAGCGCTTGTTGGTGGATGAGGCAGTGTATGGCTATTGGATGAGAATGGTTATGTTTGTCCATCTCTTGGTTAATGCGAGCAATTACTCCTTTCTTAGACCACACCATGCTAGGAGCACCATCAGTTGTCACACTGGCTAGTTTAGCCCAATTCAGCTTCAAACCATTCACAGTTTGGCAAACCTTTTCATAGATATCCTCTCCTGTAGTTGTTCCTTTGATGCTTTGCAGTGCAGCAAGCTCTTCTGTGACTTCGAAATAGTCATTCGTCCCACGAATAAAAATTAGAAGTTGTGCAGAATCACGAACATCATTGCTTGCGTCGAGTGCCAAGGAAAAATAGGAAAGTTTTTTTGTGGAGTTTTGCAAATGCTGATGCAAATTGTCTCCCATTTCTTCAATCCTCCGTGTAATTGTAGGTCCTGAAAGACTCACTGTACTAAATAAATCGGCCTTCTCTGGACACATCTCTTTGGCAACAGAAAGAAGGCATTCTTTAACAAATTCTCCCTCCATGAATGGTCTGCCAGTGCACGCTATTAGCTTGGCAACTTGAAAACTTGCTCGCAGTGATGAAATATTTAGCTGCTTCTGCTTCACAAAAGTATTTTGCTGAGTTGTTAATGTATTTTTTAGTTTAATATTTTATATTTTCTCCGACCAAACAATCATATTTATCTTTATGTTGAGTTTCATAGTGTTGACGTAAATTGTATTCTTTGAACACAGACACTATATTCTGGCATATCAGACACACAGCTCTTTCCTTGTACTGCATGAAAATGTAATCATAAGTCCACTGTTCTTTGAATATCCTACACTCCGAGTCAATTTTTCTCTTTCTTGACATCATTGTTTCCTAGGGAGTCAAAATTGCTATTAGTAAAATACCAATATATATACAGCGCTACAAAAAACAATATACCAGCAATAACTTTGCCCACACAGAGACATACAGACTGCACTGCCCATCAATGCAGTCTGATTGGGGGAACTCCGCTTTTACCCCAGGCTCACACTGGTGCGGGTGCCATTAAAAAGTTAATTACACCTGCAGTTTTGTTCACAGATCGCAGTACATCCCCAGCACACAGGAATATCACTGGGAGTGGAGCCGAGGGGCAAGTGAGGGAGCTGAGCGAGGCAGAGCCAGTCAAGCGCAGCCAGGGGAGGGCTGGCAGCCTTAGGCCTGGGGGGCAAGTCCAGTCAATTGGCCCATTGAACCATTCACCAGCGCAGCCCAATGAGTGCCCACCGCCGCAGCTCAATCAGTACTCACCAGCGCAGCCCAATTAGTGCCCACCGCCGCAGCCCAATGAGTGCTCATCAGCGCAGCCCAATTAGTGCTCACCAGCGCAGCCCAATTAGTGACCATGGGATGTGGGTGTCATCTGTCTCACCTCTTCGGTTCGGGGGGTAATGATGCTGCCAACTTCCTCCAAGCTGCCTCTGCTCTAAAAGACTGTGGCTGCGCTGTGATGCTCAGTCTGTCACGTCTCCCGCGCTCTCTCCCACGAACCAGCTTCCGGCTTTCACTGCCCACAAGTCACCGCGCAGCTGGCCCCTCCCACATGCCCTGGTTTCCTCTGAGTCCTGGGAGGTGGGGGGGCCGGATAAATGTCCTTGGCGGGCCGCATGTGGCCCGCGGGCCATAGTTTGAGGACCCCTGCGTTAGATCGTGCTACCAGCAGAGGCATCTGTGTCTCTACATTAGATCCCTGCAATGTCTTTCCACTGGCCCAGGGTCCCCAACAGAGATAATCGCCTCCCAACACTCCCTCAAACGCAGACGCATTTGGACTGTTTTGTTTGCCTGTTGTTTTTTTTTTACGTTTTACATTTAAACTTGTAATATGAATCATGCTTATCACGCATTGTAATAGGTAAAGGTACGGCTCAAACCACTGGTTGAAGATGGGCCTCCACTAGAGGTTGGCCAGATGTCTTGAAAAAGGTGCGACTACTCATGCTTTACCCCACCATTTGTACTTCTGGGTGGACAGTGGCATGGGGAGGGATTTAATGAACGTACCCATGGTTTAAACTGCCATGATGGCGATCTCCGGACTGCAAGTCCAGTGACCTAACTATCACTGCACGGCGGTATCTAGCAAGCAAATTAATGATTTTTAATTGACGGATCCATGTGTCGTCACGCGCCCTTAACGGTTGTGTGCTGGCTGTGTGATGTCACGGCCTGCAGAAGTGGTGGAGGACCTCCTGAAGACGCTTGACCGGGAGCTCTTCGACCACCTCATGGATGAAGAGCTCGGGGGCCTCAACTTCTGCCACCGGTACGCCCAGTGTGACGGTGCCTTGAAATATCGGCGGCTCTCCATTTGGGGAGAAAAGAGATGGTCCGGTTAAAAGGAAAGCACGGATAATACTGAGTGTGAAAACGAGCTTAACACAGAGGTTTTCGCAGCAAAATCCTCGCCACCCTTGCCCCCACCATGCTGGATTACAGGCTATGTGCATAGCCACCACCGCCCAGCTAATATAAGCAGTGCATGCACGTAAATTTAATTCAAGCCTGGTTAATTGGAAAACTGGATAATCCACACACAGACAGTCGTGGTTACTTGTGTAGAGGAGTAGAGGAGAGTAGTGGTGTCGTGTGCGCTGTCCGGTGCGATGGCGTCACGGGACGTGGGGTCATGCGCACTGGACAGTGCACATGACGACACAGCTCCTCGAGGTTAAAAGGGGGACCCCGTGACGTAAGCGGGGTCGTAGCTGGAGTCAAGGATCGAGAGAGGGTGAAACGGGGAGCCAGGGTCAAGAAGGTAGGGATAGTGGAGATAGCACAGCGCCAGGGCGGGACGTGGCTGTGCTCCTCGGTCGGCCATGTTGGATGATCCCACGGCCGGCGCAGAGGAGACAGCACAGGGCAGCCGGCTGTGTTGGGACCCAGTGGGACCTAGCCCAGGACCCCTAACCCCTGGGAAGTGGTTCACCCCCCTTGTGTTTTGTGTAGCCCTTAATAAACGGCGAAAGCCCTTAACTTCACCTCCGTCTCTGAGTGAGTCGTCGCCAGCTCCTCAACAACTGGTGTCAGAAGTTTTACACCGTCGCCAAAATGTCCAAAGCGGGCGCACGGCGTAAGAACCTACCTGCACATCGCTTGGAGGGTGCCGACGGCAGGGAGAAGGCTCCAGCAGCGACCCCGGAGCCCGGGACCCCGGTGACGGTCCCCATGGAGAGGAATGGGCCGGAGCGGGAGGAGTTGGCGGCCGGGAGTGCCAGCTCACCGCCGCCGCTGGAGACGGAGAGCGTCCCTGCAGCCCTGCTGCAGCAGCTCCTGCAGGAGGTGGGGCAGCTCACCATCAGGTTGGCCGAGGTGGAGGCATGGACGCAGCCAACCGGCCCACAGTTGGGACGGGAGCAACCGTCAACCGCCGTTGTTGATTCCGGCGCCATTTTCCCGGCGGCCGCCCCGCTGGAAATGGCCGCCATGTTGGCTGTGACGCAGGGGCCAGCCGCCGGCGACGACGCGGCTCCACATCAAGCTGCGCCCGCCGGCGGGGCCCCAGGTAAGTACGCACGTGCCGTCCTTGTCGGGCCACCGGAATGGGCCGCGGGTGCTGCCGTGGCTCCGCCCGTCGCCGCGCTCACGGGGCAGGCCACCGGCGATGCCACGGCTCCGCACCTCGCCGTGCCTGTGTCCCTTGTCGCGGATGCCGCCGCGGCTCCGTGTTACACCGCCGCGACTATGGTGTGGCCCGGGGAGGCCGCAACGCCGCCGCCCCTCGCCGCGTCGCGGGAGGTTGCCGCGGCTGCTGCGCCCCTCGCCGCGTCGCGGGAAGTTGCCGCAGCTACGGCCACTGCTCCGCACCTCGCCGCGCCGGCGGGGTGGGCCGCGGGGGCCGCTGCGGGGCTGTATTACATTGCCGCAAACTCGGCGTGGCCCGTGGAGGCCGCAACGCCGCTGCCCCTCGCCGCGTCGCGGGAGGTTGCCGCGGCTACGGCCGCTGTCCTGCACCTCGCTGCGCCGGCGGGGTGGGCCGCGGGGGCCGCTGCAGGCCCGTATTATACCGCCGTGTCTTCGGCGTGGCCCGTGGAGGCCGCAACGCCGTGGTCCCTCGCCGCGTCGTGGGAGATTGCCGCGGCCACGCACCTCACCGTGCCTGCGGGGTGGGCCGCGGACGACGCCGCGGCTTTGTACGCCGCCGCTGACAGGTGGGTCGCGAAAGCTGTGGCGCCTCCACACCTTGCTGCGTCTACGGCGTGGCCCATGGGGGCTGCAACTCTGCTGCACTTCGCTGCATCTACGACGTGGCCCATGGGGGCCGCAACTCTGCCGCACTTCGCCGCGCCCAGGGCGTGGCCCACGGGGGCCGCCGTGGCCATGCACGCCGATGCATCTACAGCGTGGGGTGGTGTTGCATCCCCACACCTCGCGGCGTGGCCCGCGGGGACTGCACCACCACCGCACCTTTCCACGTCTTCGGCGTGGCCCGCGGGTGCCGCAACGCGGCTGCTACTCGCTCCGTCTCCGGCGTGGCCAGGGGGTGCCGCAACACACCCGCCGCTTGCCACGTCTCCGGTGTGGCCCACGGGTGCCGCAACGCTGCCACCGCCGCACCACGTCGCGTCCACCGGGTGGCCCGTGGGTGCCGCTGGGCTTCCACACCTCGCGGCACCGCGCGGCCAATGGCTGCGCTGGTTACCCCACGTCGCGCCGTTTGTCGCGAAAGGGGGCGACTGGTCGGCCTTCCAGGACCGCTTTGACGCGGCATACATGTCGGTCGGCTGGTCCATGGAGGAGGCCTTGCCGGCGCTTCCGACCTGCTTGGACAAGAGGGCTCTGCAGGCCTTGAAGTCCATCCCTCCGGCCGATCGGGCTACGCTCCCGGCGGCCTATATCCAAATGGCCAACGTTTTTGAGCCGCCGTCCTGCGCGCAGATGAAGTTCTCCGTGCGGCGGCGGGAGGAGGGGAAACTGCCGCTGGCCTTCCGCTGCTCGTTCCTGGCCCTGGCGCAGGCTGCATTCCCTGACCTGTATGGCAGGGCACTTGATTCTATGGCCTTGGGAAAGCTGCTTGACCTGGCAAGGGAGCTAGAAATTGCTCTGTCAATCAACAATGATCGGCAGATCACATCCTTGGTGGTCACCGAAAACATTCAGGCGCACCTCTCCCTCCGCCAACAGCCTCGGATGGCGGCGTGCGCGGGGGTCCCGGCGCCGGACGGGGGGGCCGCCTCTCAGGGGGTGGACACCCTTGCGGCCCTGGCGATGCCCGATCGTCGAGGAAGGGGGGCGGGTGTTCGCCATCCGGAGCAGCGGGGGTGGCCGGGACCTTCCCATCCGCAGGAGGCGGCCACGGTGGCCTGCTTTCGCTGTGGTCAGCGGGGCCACATTGAGCGGGGCTGCCGGAATGCCCCGGGGGCCTTCGGAAAAGGGGCTCCACCTTCTCCCGGACCCTCGTCGGCATCGGGTCGAGGGCCCCAGGCGAGTCGCGACGCATCACCTGCGCGGCTGCTCCCTTCACCTCATGCATCTAGCGGGGCTAGGGCCCATCGTCATGGGATGCGCTTACGCATCGGATGGTGGTGGCAGCTGCCGGCTCCTCAGCGGTGGCGGGATACGTGCAAGGGGTGCACGTTCGCCTCCTGGTGGATATGGGGGCGTCGGCCACCATTATTTTTTATGCCATTTTTGGGCTGCTACCCCACAGCGTTGGTCCGTTAAGGCCGGTTCGCGGGGCTTGTGTCGCCGCGAATGGCGGCAGTTTGGGCATCTTGGGCCACGTAGCGTCGGTTCGGGTTGACGAGATTGAGTTGGCCGGGCCTATTTTGGTCTCCAGGACCTTGGCAGTGTCATGCCTCTTGGGGATCGACTTTTTGTCTAGGATGCCCATCCGAATTCTCGTTGACCAGGGCTGTGTGGAAATGCCGTCAGGGAGGCGGCTGCAATTCCTACAATCGCCTACCGTCCTGTCTCCCTTGGTCGCCAGTGTACGGGCCTTGAATAAAGCGCCGGTGACCGTACCGCCGGCGTTACAAATCCTGCTACCCCTTAGGTTTCGCAGACCGCTCGAAATGGGCTCCACGGAGACGGGTATCCTCCTGTCCCCGTCGAGCTACTTTTCAAGGACGAAGGGGTTTGTGGGGGCCTTGACAGCCGTGTCGGGGGGCCAGGACATTTTTTTGCAGGTCCTCAATTCGGGTCCCGCGTCGGTCGTAGTCCTGGCCGGCGCCGTCCTGGCGCACGCAACCCCAGCTCCTCCACCCGAGAGCATCCAGGGGTACGTGCTTGACAAGGGCGCGCCGGAACAATTTTTGACTGACCAGGGGCGGAATTTCTCGTCTAGGTTGCTCAAGGAGTGTGTGACCTCCTTGGCACCAAGAAAATCTGCACCTCTCCCTACCACCCCCAGTCAGACGGGATGGTAGAGCGCTTGAACCGCACCCTTACGTCCATGCTGTGCCACCAGGTGAACACGTCCCAGTCAGACTGGGACTTGTTCGTCCCGGGGGTCTTGGCAGCGTATCGGTTGGCCCCTCATGCCTCCATGGGATTTTCGCCCTTTTATTTGATATACGGTAGGGAACCGGAGCCCAAGGTGCACGTCCAGATGGACGTTGGCTCCTCCAGGAAGGGGTCGGCGGTGCCGGCCCCTTTGAAGGTCGCGCTTGACCGGCTGCACGAGGCTCGACAGGCCGCTGCCGAGAATTCCGCCAGCTGGCAGGCGGCTAATGAGCGGCTGCCCAAACACCAGGCAGCTGGCCTCCCGTGGGTAGCGGGCCAAAAAGCGTGGCTGCATTGTCCCCAGGTCCTTGTTGGCACATCGGCCAAATTGCATCGCCCTTGGCAGGGCCCCGTGGAGGTTGTGGAGGTCCGCCTGCCACAATGCGTCCAGATTCGGTTCGGTCGCCGGCGGTGGATAGTGCACCCGTCCCGGCTCAAACGTTATGTTCCATCTACCCTGGGGGATCCACCCCCAATTCCGGAGCTGCCGGCTGATGATGCGTCCGGCGTGCCTGACCGGCCGGGTCTCGTTGACGGAGGTGACGTCCGGCCTGTGTGTGTGCCCCCAGACCCCTCCCGAGTGAGGCCGACAGAGACCTTCCGGTCACCGGAGGCCACGGCGGTGGGCCTGTTGCCCGCTGACGGGCCACCTGCATGGGTGGCGGACGCCGCACGGGGGAGCGGGCCAGCAGCGTATACCCGCTCGAGGGGGATGCGGCTCCGGTGCCGGCCCTGCTGGCCGTTCAGTGCTATCCGGCGGATGAAGCCTTCGGGCTCTATTTGTTAAGTTTTGTTGTAGTTGTTGTTGCTGTTGCTGTTGTG